GGGATCGAATAAATGAATGAATGGATAGATGGATGCAAATATGTCTGTCCCCAGCCCAACGACTTAGTCCAGCAAAGTGTTTGCACATATCGTCGTCGTCGTATGATCGTCATTCACTTCCACTTGATGAAGTATGTGCGTGTGTTGGCATGCTAACGTCATGCAAACCACGCGACCACTGGGAGTTAAATCCAGTTTTTTGTGATTTTCATATCAACGGCAACTTCGTTTCTTTGCGATTCCTTGTTGTCTAAAATGTGGCTGTTAATGTTCAGTTGGTGTGTTATTGCTGCTGCTGTTGTTGTTGTGACGGTGTCCCGCATCATGTTGTATGTCGTTTGCCTGCTCTATAAAAAGAAAATTTGTTTAAACACAATGTAATGTAATTTTTCGTTAAGATTTTTTTTCTTCACAACAGCCATCAAACAACAAATACCATAATCGACATTTTTCTGGCTCTTCTGATGCTTTTACTTGGTTATTTTTCTCCTTTTGGACTATTGAACGATTTGATTTGATCAACTACATCGCCATCATCATAATTTCTTACTCTGGTAATTATTAATTATTGATTGATTCTATGGCATGTTTAGACACATGATTGGTCCTCGTCGTCATCATCGTTTGACTTGTGGAATATCCAAGAACAACAATTTCTCTAGAATGTATTAATCAAAATCACATTTAATTATATAAGCAAGTGGAAAATATTGTGAGAACATTCGTTCGTTCTGCAGTATTATTACAACCATTAGAATTAGATCTTATAGTAATGAAGGAGAATTATAGATAGACAAACTGTTATTAATACACCTCGTACTACATCACATGTCTAAATATAAAATTACGTTTTCATGCTAGAAATTACTTTATTAAGACCCAGTGAAGATTTGCGGAGGAGAGATATAAAATGCGGAAAGATTTTTGGAAATATATACAATTTGGGGACTTGTACTACATGCAGCAATTACCCTATGATATGAGGGCGGATAACTTTATTATTGCGAATTAGAACCTTTGATGAGTAAGATAAGGATCCAGAATTCGAATATAATAATTTCAGACGAATTAGGACGAAAAATACGCACAAAAGTGATGAAGGGAATACAATGAGAATATTTCCCCTGCCACCGATAAATCCCATGAAATTGAGGCCACTGGAATAAAGGTACTAAATATGGAGTTAAAAGGTACTAAATATGGTACCATTTGTATTTGGCGAAAATACAGATGGAATATAGCACAGATATATAAAAGTTTTTTTTTCGAGATTAGGAGAAAAAATGAAGTGGGATTGGAAGTGTGTACTCATGTATACGAAATGTACTCAACAGTACTAAATTGGTTACACTTTCTGAGTCGATTTATGCATGTCCATGTTAAATTGTAAACAAGATGCAGGTCGCATTTATTATCCGAATGAGATGAAAGTTGACAGATCATTTGTTTGTCTCAAGGACGAACCCTATTGAAATTGGTGAAAAGCGGTTCAGATTTAGATATAGCTCCCATATATATTTTTGTCCGATTTTTAGCAACACAGTGTCAAATTTAGGCCGATTGGCACATTTTGGCAGATTTTGCACAACGTATTGAACTTATTTTAGCCTAGCGTATACCAAGTTTTATTGAAATCGCTTCAGATTTAGATATAGCTCCCATATATATTTTCCTCCGATTTTTAGTAAATTGTGCACCAAAGAGTCAAATTTAGGCCGATTGGTACGAAATTTTGCACAACGTACTGAAGTTAGGATAGCCTAACGTGATCTATCTCAATTTGAGGCTAGAGTGTTTAAAAAAAGACAGACATCGTCATAAAATTTTACGTTGATCATGAATATATATACTTTATAGGGTCGGAAATGATTATTTCGATGAGTTATAAACAGAAAAGCAAACTTAAGGGGACCCCCCCATTCTAGGGGTCAAAAATTTTGTTGATATAATTCTAATCTACACTAATTAAAGAATGTCCCTACAAAATTTCAAATGAAAATCTCAAGAAGTCTTGAAGATATAGCCGATTTATTGTGTCAGTATCAAGTGACGGCTGAAGGGCTTCTCAATCTTTAAACGCGTTTTTCTCTAAACATTTTTTTTTTTGTGAATGGCGGGCACGATAACTCAAAAACTAATAATCCAATCGACTACACGTTTCTCTGTGAGTGTATAGCTATCGTATGAACTAGGATAAAGCCAATCGGTGAAGATCTTCCTTATTTTTTGACATGGGTTTTGGTAAAAAATCGGCGATATTCCAAAAATATTTTTTCAAAGGTCCACCATGTTGTTAATTTTAGAGCGAAGTCAATAATCCTATTTCATACGAGCGCCAGACATGTACTCTTTCTTACACCGTTGGAATTTTCGGATTCCGATGTTGCAGTGAGGAGTTATCATGCCCGCCATCGAAAATAAGGACTTTTCTTTAATTACAAAAACAACAACAACATTTTTTTGTAAATTATTTGTCTTCTCTTTTAAATCTTCAATTATATATGTGTAAAGTTACAAACCTTAACAAGCATTGGTATAGATTTACCAGCCCATTGATAATCTTGAAAAATTAAAATCGAGTATGGGGGGGGGGGGGGTTCCCTTAATATACCCTCCATACAGTGGTGAAGGGTGTAAAAAGGTACAAATGTACCCGGTTGTTGATCGTAGGGTTAAGTCGATTCACATATAGACACACATAACATATTTAATTTAGTCCAATTTCATATCAATGGTCCTTCAAAAATGCGAGGTCTGTGAGGATACATATCTTGAATATACCCAAAGTGGTAAAGGGTATCATATAGTCAGCGCCGTCCGATTTTACTACTTCCGTACTGGTTATAATTGGATTTGGGTAATACTGAAATCTGAAGAAAAAAAATAAAAATGGTACTAAATTTCATAAAATTTGGATTTAGGTGAACCGATAGAGCTGCAATCCTGAAATTTGGAATTATGATTACTGTTGGAATGTAGGATCGAGGTATGGTGTTTTTTTTAATTCGTGTACTAAATGGTACCAAATTTGGTACAATTTGGATTAAAGGAACCGACCAGACTGGAATCTTGAAATTGGGAAATTTAATTTCTATTGGATTTTTGTGTTGGGTACTTATGGAAATTTATACTAATTGGTAATACATTTGGTAAAAGTAGAGTCTGGGTGAACCAATAGAACTGCAATTATAAAACTTGGAATTAGTTTTAGAAAAAGTATGAAAGGTAATAAACGGTACTAAATTTAGTATAGAGTTTGGTTTTTGCTGCTGTTAGATGTGGCATATGGGGTCGAGATTTGGAGGTAGTTTTGGAATAACGTACTATAAGATAACAAAGGTATACATGGTACTCACACAAAAGTATACATGGTACTCACAAATCTTGGCCGACTTCTTCAATAACCCGTCCAATTTGAAAGAGCTTTCAATGAGGGAGATTTCAAATCTTGTTTTGTTTACGTTTGGGATCCGAAGGGGCAGTAGTTATGTATTTAACTATCTCGTATAATATACAGGATCATGTTTTTATGTAACTTCTATATAAAAATTCCATCAGTTTTCAACACTTTTCAAAGGATGGCATATTCCTGAAAGGGACTTTTTAATGCTATTGATATGCCATGTAAGGGTACCGATCTGTATAAGGAATTTTAAAGGGCCTAGCTCCATCAAACTAAATAGAAGGTGAATTAAAATGTTGAAGATTTTAGATGCATATCAGATACGATGTAATAGTAATTTGACATTTAGGGTTCTTGGAGGTTAAAAGACATTTTCGACACTTTATAATATAGCTCCCATATCCGGCCAATTTTGGGTTATTTTTCCAACGTATGTGGCTACAATAAAGAATGTCATAATTATCTCCATATACAATTTCACCATATGTCGGAAGCTTGCTCTTATTCTTGAACCGCACATTAACAACCTCATCATAAAAATTCCTATATAATATCGTACAAAATTTTCTTATTTTCACTTTGGTCGCTATTTCCCATTCAATATTGTGCCTGAATATTTCCAATAGTTTACGTTTAAACGAATTTGTTCACTGGGTAGTTGCGTGTGAACATTTTGTGTTGACTTCTATTTATACCCAACGTATAATTGAAGACTTCTAATATTTTAATGACATTTTGAGATGATTGTACTGAGAAGAAATTGAGTTTAATTTTAATCAAATTGCTATTTTAAATTGTTTTGTTTAATGTGTTCTTTATTTAATGAGAAATAATTGATGGGATCGAATTGAAGTTTAACAAAACCTTTGTGGATCTAGTTCCAACTTTTTGAATTGTTTATCAATTTGGAGATGAAAACCCATGATGGCACATTAATAATCCAAATGGGCTAGTGCGCGATAGGTCTAGTTGTTCGGTTCTGACGCCATATTTATTTATTCTTTGCTGGTGACTCTACTTTTCCTTAAGAAAAATAAAACTTTATATCATTGTTTGCAGCTATTGTAGGATATTTCTGGGAAAACTGCCTTCAGTCAAATCGAATGAGGAATATTATTTCAAAACATATCCTCCTTTTATGTCGAGTCTTTGTGGGTTTGTTTCTTGGACTGTAAACGAAACACCACAAAACGAGATGTTTGAAATATCCTACAAAAATGTTGCTCATAAGATTTTATATAGGGTCCCCAATGACAAGATATTCTCATTATTTCTAACCCGTTAATAACATGTGACTAAAAAAAGTTAACTATGGTGACATTGTCCTCATGGTTTCTAAATGTTCCCGCCAAGGGCCAAATTAAATGTTCTTGCCCTGAAAATCTTGTTGTTCGGTGTTATCAGATTCTGTTTTACTTGTCAATAGTTCTAGTTATTTATTCACTTTTCCTATTGGGGCTTTTAATGTCACTCAATTACCAATTAAATTTTTTAATTGACAATTTTATTGTCTTAGAAAAGGAAATGAACATTGGAAATAAATTTGAATTACAAAATCAAGTTATATCTTACGATCGTTTCCTGAAGAAAGTCATAAATGACCGACTTGAAAGTCGAACGTTGTGTCCTTTGTTTGGACGCAAAACATTTACCGGTTACAATACATTGCGGGCATTCGTTTTGTGGTGAATGTTTGAAACGATACAAGTCCTATAAAAAACATACATGGGCCAAAAAATGTCCTATTTGTCGCAGTGAATTCAAGGATAAGAAACGTATGGTAAGAATATCAATATAAAAGTAATATTCCTAGTCTATCCGTAAAAATCTTTTCAATCACGTATTTGTCGAAAAGAAACCATCTTCATCGTTAGAAATATCCTCTAATGCTACTTCAGTTGATACAATGAACGAAAATAGTTTATTGGAACAATTTATAGCCATGGCCGCTGATGATGGTGAGGTTGCGATAAAGGGGTTCCAAAGTCGAATTTCAGTGAATAGTATTTCAGGTTCTGTTGACAATTTCGAAGAAGGCAATGATGATGATTTTGAACCTATGGACGATGACGATTCCGATGAAGATATATATTATTATTTTGAAGATGATGTATCTTCGTATCATAATTTGGAATCCAATGATGCAGAAAATGTTATTATTGTTGATGATTGAAATATTCTGATAATTGTTTTATATAAATTTTGCTTATATAGCAATAAAATTGAAATTCGTTGGCATTGTGTTACATTGATATGTCTTCTGTTAGTTTTACTATTTTATTGTTTTAATTTGTTTATATATTATCTTGCCGATTTTCAATAGATATCTAATAGTTTGTTTATGTTTTTATTTTTTTCAGACTTGTCGATGTCTTGTATTGTCAGGTATGCTTTTCCTTGCTGCAGTTGGTGGTTCAATAATAACTGTTTTGAATTTTATCATTTATAATGAACCATGCTATTAATATTAGTTAATTGAAATGTTTTAAATATATTTTTATTAATTCTGAAGCCTTGTTATTAGAGGCGATTTATGATAATTAAACATTAATTTACAAAAATAATAATAATAACAGTAACATGGGCCCTATTACAAAATGTGGGCCAATACTGATCATTTTTGTTAGGAAGATTTGATAACCAAACGTAACCAAACTCCGCAAAATACCGAAATATGAGGGTATGATTTTATGGGGGCTATTCCGAATCTTGTGCCAATATAGTTTTCAGTAAAGAGAACAATATACCGAAATTTAAGAGATTATACAAAAAGCTATACAAACAACTTTAGTGGGAAGTTTTGGAAGAGGATGACCCAAATTCTGTTCACAGAATAAATAATGAATGTTGGTGGGGTACTAAAACGTGGGCTGGTATATCCCATCTTCAATACCAAACATCCCAGCAAAGGTATGTGTAAATTTCAAAGCCCAATCTTAATTATTGCTAGCTCTATCATGATTTCAATAGGCAGTCGAATATTATTATGATCAAGGATATATATATATACTGCATGGAGTCTTTGTTAAATACAAACGTGCTGACAAATATACGATCCACCATACAGTGCGGTTATAAAAATAGGATATTACTATATTCAAAACCAGCTGCACTATTCATCATGACGGAACATTCATCCTTGGACCATTTGCTAGCTCTGTCGTTAATCAGATCGGATAGTACTGCTACATTGAAGCTATGCTAAAAATGTCATAGTGAGGAAAGTTTTAAAACCTTCATATACCCCTAAAATGATTATCATCTTTGTTATAGCAAATTAAACTATCGAAGTCAAAATATGAACCTGAATTGAAAATTGTTTCTCCTTTACATACAAATACCAAATCAGAAGAAATACGCTGAGAAAATGTGCTATCCAAAAGCGGTGCATGTTAGTGGAGACTCCATCAACTAATATTTCCCAAGACAATGTTATTTACTCTTCGATAGCCTGAAGTGCAGAATTACTGTCATTTGGGTAGTAAAACGCATTGAGACATTCAGAATACCTAAAATGGGTATCTTCGAGAACCCGAAATACCAAATAAAGGGATTTTAAACTTAAAATTCAACGGATATATGTGAACTTACATATCTTTTTATACCCTCAGCCTTAATGATGGTATACTCGTATACACTTTGATACGGAAAAATGTGCCTCATCGAAATATTGGTTTTAGACCCCATGTTTCTTTGGACTAAATCAATTTCAGACAATTTGGAATTGGAGTCACAGAAGTCCGTCCGTGCGCACGCTATCTCTCGAAGTGAGTAACCGATTTCATTCAAAACTTGCACATCGTAATATTTATTCCAAACTTAGATCAAGTATGAAAATGGAGGATATTGGTCCACTTTTTTTGGTACCTTCTCCACAAAAATGGCCAAACCTTCACTGAAAATTACTTTATAGGATAACGTGAACAGACTATCCGATTTTTCAAGCCTAGATCAAGTCCAATATTTGTCGAATGGCATGTCCGATTTGATCCAAAGTGTGCGCATCGTAAGATTTCTTTCAAACTCACATTAATTTTGAAAATAGGGAAAATCTTTCCACTCCTTCTAGTAAATCCCCACTAAAGGTCAAGGTTTTGTATCTTCCTAAAGCTTTTTAAACAAACGGAATATCCAAATTTAATCCTATCTTGGCATATAGGATAGGTAACAAATTTTACCTATCCTAGAGCGAATCCAAAGATGAGACCCATTCGTCCACTCCTTTTAGTACATCCACCAAAAAGATTACATTTTTATACCCTTCACCATACTGTGGTAGAGGGTATGTTTGTATATGCATATGTTTGTAACAGGCAAAAGGAAACGAGATAGACACATGGTTCCTTTTGAGAATCAATTTTTAAGTCGATTTATGCATGTCCGTCCGTCTGTCCATGTTAAATTTTAAACAAAGTACAGGTCGCATTTATGATCCGAATTGGATGAAATTTGGCACAACTCATTTGTTTAGCCGTATTGAAATTGGGAAAAATCGGTTCAGTTTTAGATATAGCTCCCATATATATTTTCGTCCGATTTAAGGTAAATGGTGTACTAAAGTCCCTATATATCTTTCGATTTGCACGAAATTTGGCATAGCGTACTGAATTAAGCCTAGAATGATGTGTGCAAAATGTCGTGATAATCGGTTCAGATTTAGATATAGCTCCTACGGTGGCTAGGCTATGTTGTGCGGATGAATGAAGATGCCCCAGCTCAAAAGGCATATAAAAATGAGCCTACTGATGGTTCCCGTAGAAGGGGAAGGCCACGAATTAGATGGAAAGACCAAGTAGAAAACAACATCTTGGAACGTGGTCTTCCAAATTGGTGGACTTGCGCACAAGACCGACGCGCTTGGAAATCTTTTTTAAGCTCGGCTTATGGAACAACCGTTCTGTAACAAGCCAGCTAAGTAAGTAAGTAAAGTCCTATATATAGTTTCGCCCGATTTCAGGTAAATAGTCCAATAAAGTCCCTGGAAATCTTTTGATGTGCACGAATTTTGGCACAGCGGAATGGATAATGTCTATAATGATGTGTGTTAAGTTTCGTGAAAATCGGTTCAGATTTAGATATAGCTCCCATATATATCTTCGTCCAAATTAAGTTAAATGGTGTACCAAAATCCCTATATATCTTTCGATTTACACGAAATTTGGCGTAGCGTACTGAAATAAGTCTGGAATGATGTGTGCAAATTTCGTGAAAATCGGTTCAGATTTAGATAATGCTCCCATATATATTTTCATCCGATTTTAGGTAATTGTTGCACCAAAGTCTCCGAAAATCATTCTATTTGCACGAAATTTGTCATAGCGCACTGAATTATGTCTAGAATGACGTGTGCTAAGTTTCGTCGGATTTTATGTAATTGGTGCAATAAAGTCCCCATATATCTTTAGATTTGCACGAATTTTGGTATATGGTACTGAATTAAGTCTAGAATGATGTTGATAAGCTTCGTGAAAAGATCCATAGCTAGGCCGATTGACACAACGTACTGAAGTAATATAAATGATGTCTGGCAAGTTTCCCTGAAATCGGTTTAGATATATATATATGTAACAAAAACGCGACGTCTGTTAGGATACATATGTAGAATATACCCAATGTGGTGAAGGGTATCATATAGTCGGCCCAGTCCGACTTTACTACTTTTCTTACTGGTTTTAACTGAAATCATGTTTGAAAATGGGATCCCTTCCTTCAAGTACCCTCCACACAAAATGGTCAAAATTTTACTGAAAATTAATTCTATAATATCATTGGAGCGTATTAAATTTTACACAACATATTTGAACGTTGAAGGAAAGGACTTACCGTTCCACTCCCCAAAAGGAATCGACAATTTGAAAACTTTTGCATATCAACTGAATCGAACGAAATATCCAATATTATCGAAACTTTGCACATAGTAATATGTTTACTTTAGCTACATTATGTCCAACAATGAAACCCGTCCGTCCACTCCTTCTGGTACCTCATACACAAAATGGTCAAAATTTTGCTGAAAATTTATAACAGACTATCCGATTTGGACTAAACTTTGCAAAAACTAATATTGTAACCATGACTGTATTATAACCATGTATAATGTTGGAATATATGACTTATTGTTCCACTGTTTCCAGTATCTCACCCACAATGGGTGAACATTTTGAAAATTTGTACATTTCATATGAAGCGAACAGAATATCCATTTACAATTCAACTTTGCACAAGTTATATTTTATTGTAATTAGATTATGTCTGAAGAGGGGACCCATCGGTGCACTCCTTCTGGTACCTTAGATCTTTTTAGTATATCATTTTCTTCTGACTTGATTCCTTGTGTGAATTGTTCGTCCTTTCCAAATATCACATCACGATTTTCCACCCTGCTCATAAGATTTTAGTTGGGGTCCTCAAAGACGAAGAATCGAAATTTTTTGTATAATATTGCGTATATGTAAAATCGCATCTTGTGATAATTAGAGTCCAGTTAAATAAATTTATGACGAAAAGAACACACACAAAAAATCATCATTCGATAAAACTGAAGAAATGTAATCTCAAAAAAATACATAAAATAGCTACAAATGAAGATATGAAGCTATTTCTTCAAGTATAATAGGGTCGATAACAAACAATTATCATCCATATCTCCGAACTTTAACCTATGGCGAATTTTTCCTTCTGAGGTTTTCATATAATCACCGAGAGCATTACTCCCCAATAGGAAATATAGTGGCCCAAAATCTTATCGCACAGCATAATTAATATAATAAGAGCTCCTCTTTCATTTACATAAAGTGGTTTATAGTATCATATAGTCGAATCCGCTCAACTTTGATTCTTTATTTATTTACATCACGAATATTTTATTAATTTCTCGGCTACGAACAACTTCTTAAGGTAGGTTGCAACCTTTGTTTATTTCATAAAAAAAATCATCGATATTTTAAATCAATTTAATTCGCCTCCTAGGCCACCATGTAACGATTGCATTTGATAAGAATGCTCCGTTAAATTATATGAATATTCTAGGAATTTTTAATAAAAAAACTCTATTAATAAATAGTTACGAATATTATGCATAAGATGGCAAATAATGAAGTAATCAATCATGCGGAACGCCAACAACAACCACAGCGAGAATCTCATTACATGAAATAGCATTTTAGGTTAAAT